CTTTGTCTGATACCTTACCGAAGCTAAGGCCCTTGTGATCTGGCTTGTACTGTTTTTACCGATAGCACTTGAGTATAAAATAACCATTTTTTCAAATAAATCCGTAGAGTTGATCTTTTTCATGTTTAACGTCACATATAGGACATTCTTTAGCCGATTGTGCTTGAAAGTTGATGAATCCCTTCTCGATTCTTCCAATCTGGAGCCACCCATATTCTGCAATAGCTAAATTAGCTCCTTTAACCAAAGCATCATCATCATCAATAGGTTTAAATTCCTCTTCTGCTGGCTTTTCTTCTGAAAAGGTTCGTGGAAGGATTTCAGAATAATTCTCTTTAGGCTGAACCAGATAATCCTCTAGCTTTTGAAATCCATTTTTTACGGAAGAGATAGCAGGTCTTTTTATGCGTCCCTCTTTTGCTGATCCAAGGAGTCGAAGATTGAAATGTGTTTTGGGAAGGCCAATATCAATAAATTTCGAATAAGGTTCCCCAACTAATTCCATAACTTTTTCTGTGAATCCCTTAAGTTCTCTATAATCTATGAATTGGGCACGAGGATAAATGATATGCCAGCTACATTTCTCAGCATTTGATGAACTAGCTACGGCAAAAGAATTTAAGAAAGGCATACAATCTGGAATAAGGCTTAATGCATCTGCACAAGCAACTAAAATTCGAGATATCAAATCTTCTTGGGTAATTTTTTCATTATCTAAAGAAGGAAGCTGAGGATTATTAGAGTCAGGCTTTTGTCTTGCATCAATGTCAATTATTAAGCGAAGAGGCCTGTTGCCATCAATACATTCATGAGTATTAGGTATTCCATAAACTTTGCTAGGATGATCGATCACTGTATAACCTTTTCCCGCCACCCGGATTATATATTGAGAATGAATTTCTTCAGGTCGATATGCATCTAAAAGTGCAGTATCATTTTTATTAGTATCTCCACTGGATGCAAGCCAGTATTTATAAAATGTATGTTCTGTATGAGCAGGTTTATAATCAAGATCCGTTAAACCTATGAAGAACATTTTTGCTTCATTATATTCGGCTAACTTTTGATTTAGACGTTGTTGTTGTAACGATTTACATAAACGTTTTTTTGATTCACTAGATAAACTCATTTTATTTATTTGTATACACGGTATATGGTTGTAAATTAAAAGTATTATACTTAACCCGAAAAACTTTAAAATGAAATTAATTATTCTATATATATCATTATTATTGACAATAAATATGGGACTCTATCGTTGTCCTTATATTCTTAGAACTGGTAAAGTCTGTGGTCGAGGTTGTAATCAACCAGAAGGATGTAAACTTCATCGAAATTCTCCTACACGGATTCCTTGTAAAGAATATGGTTGTGGTAAGCTAACTTATTCTAAATATGGTGCATGCCGGAATCATGCAAGTAAGTATCGAAAAAGAGAATATTATCAACAAAAAAAGCAGGATGAATTGTGTATCAAATTGCTATGATTGAGAATCATATACCCGACTTACCCGATTCTAGACATGAAGTATAATCATGTGCTTGGCATATACCGATTATTTTTTCTTTCTTAGCCACAAATGTGTATCACAAATAATACATGTCATAATTTACATTGATAATTAACTATTTGTAGCTTTATCAATAACACAGTTTTTTACAGATTAAACAAATAAAACATGTGTTACTCAAAAGGTCAAAGTCTTGGGACATGATAAAGTTATTTAAAAAATCTTTTTTTTCTTTTGTCCATATCAACAGATAATGCTTATAACAAACAAATTTGAGATTATTAAATAGTTTATACAGTGAACATGATATGGTGACTGGCAACAGTTAATGTATTTCCGCATTCCAGCAAACATGTTCATGCAATACATTGTTAATTATAATAAACAAATTCTATAAAAATTAAACAAGGTCTCCAAGGAAATGATTTATCCATTCCTTGACCACAATTCAGGACAACAAATCACTTTGTTACGAAACGGATTTAATTCGAGTCTATTTATTGATCATATTCTTTTTTGAAACAAAACAAAAAATTGGTATTTTTTGGAATTAAATTAACATCTCTAATCTGGACACATCGTTGCAAATATATTCATTAAATTAGGAGCAAACATATTTGGAGAAAACATTCAATATAATAATGCCTTTAAGAGGGATTTAAAGTCAACACTTTCCACTTAAGAAGATACTTCAAAAATTTGATAAAGATAAATGAAGGGAAATTGGTTTATTCCGCCAATATTTAGAAAACATTAGTTAAAGGAACCAATTTACTCCACATCTTACCATTTCTACCAGTGCTACATATGTAATATTTGATATCAAGCATGACATATGCACTGATTTTGTTTGAACCCCAAAATTCTGTATGGTATGATCGTAATGTTATGAATACTTTATACTAGCAAAAGCCCATCGGTTTGACATGCTATCGAATAGTAAA